CGCCAATTTTCTTTGGCGTGCAGGCGTGCACGCCAATCCCCACCTGGCGTGCGTTTATCAACGCCCCATGTGCTGGCATTGGACCAAGTAAGCCACCAAGTTGTCTATCTTGATACAGAAATTTTGGAACTCTTGTTGAGTCTTGATGCCAGATGCACACATTGTCAAAAGGAGCTGATCCAAGTTGTTCCTTGTATGTTTCAAGAGCGGCATCATCTTACCCCAACGTAGCACCATCGGTTCTTTCAGTCTTTCCCAGTCGTGGTTCTCCTTTTTGGCCATTTCCTGGACTTCTTTAACCAAGGTTTTGCCTTCAACGAAGAAAATTATCTGAAGCACAATTTTGAATCCTAGGGCGCCATCTATCTGTTTGGCGTATTCCAGGCGCTTAATAAAATTGCTGATGTCCATGTTAGTACCGTTGAACATTAGTCCTTTAGATTGGGACTTAATTTTGACTGGTTTTTGTCCAAATGGCTCCGGGTTATACTCCGGCAGCATGACACAACTTTCCAGAAAATGAGGACTTGGTAGAATATTTCCCGCTTGGCCGTGATTTGCAAAACCGTGACTGGCCAATTGAAATCCTGCAGAGTGTTCTGACGGCGCCGGGTTTGCGTTTGGGCCGTCTGAGGTCAAATTTTCTGAGACATTGTTTTGTTCACGGAATGGGCCAGGGTTGAAAGGTAAGTTGTTTGGTAATTGTCCAATATTGAACGAGTAGAGTTTTATAGGAACTGGTTGGTTGTGGTAAGAAATTTCTAGAAGCTATGAAGGAAATCTAATCTAATAATTTTTTTTGTGTTTTTGTATGAATTTTTAAGTGAGGCAAAAAGACAAGATGGCGATGATGGTAATGTAATTTTTTTAAGGGTTTTTTATCTTAAGGTTGTAATGGATAACCAAAACGTGACTGTTTAATCTAGAGATTGCCAGGCCACTGTTGGGACACCACTTGTGGAACTACCCGGTGGGATCAGATAGAGTGTGGAAGGGGAAAAGTGCCCTGGATAAGGCTGCCCTCCGGTAAAAGGTGATAAGGTAGTAGATAAAGATGGCAAAAGAGTACCTGCGTGCAGGTACCCGGCACCCGTGGGCGGGTACTCACAAGCTGGGCGGATACCTGTGTTACGTGTATGAAGTACAGGTGCGGGTCCTTGGTGGTCTCATGAATTTCCAAGGGGTACCCGTGTACCCCCACTCATAACCCGTCCAGCTGTAATAAATAATTAAATAATATTATATGTACAATATATATATATCCAAGGGTATCTTTATATATAATTACCTACCGCAGCGCTGCGGCTTCCCCTGCGCACCCTTGTTGTAAGAAGGCGGGGTCTCACCCCCACTTCCTCCCCGTGCCAAACTTTCCGCCCCTCTCTTGCCACAGTCACGTTATGGACCCTTCCATTAGGCCTTTCCACAACCACAATCCACAATGAATCGCCGACCACGCAAGAAGGCCCGTCCTGACAGCTCACCTCCCTCCAATTCTGCAACAAACCCTATCGAAGTCCCTGCACCTTCAACACAAGCAGAAGAATCAAATGATGAACCACCTGCAAGTGCAGGTATGACACACCTCACCGATCAAGAGGAGCTGGGTAAGTTCCTCAAACCCATTTCTGTCAGCTTGCTACTATGGCAGAGACAACCTGTCACAGCAAATAAAAATAATAAATTGCATCAAAAATCTAAGTATAAATTAAAAATATTACATAAGTAAAAGAAACAATATTACTTATGTAAATAAGATAAAAAACACATAAAAATAAATGAATAACTTAAAAAGTATAAACAAAACCTTGAATATTATTGCAGATTCTGAATCAGCATGCAATTTAACCTAGGGTACCTCAGCCAAAGGTACCCCAAATTCTAACTCCTTCATCCTGTAATACAAGCATGAATAAATAACAGGTACCCCCAGATCACGGGTACTGTGATACTTCTGCATAATGCATAATGCATATACTCCAAATCCAGTCTCAGAATTGGAGTATTATGCACGGTTTAGAAGATAGAGCAGTGTGGAGTCCTGTCTCCAAGCCCATGTGCCACGTAGTCATGCTGCGCACCAGTATCCAAGGATTGGGCCACAAAAGCCCCAGAATCCCCATTGCACGTGGCAACAAAGCCTCCACACGTGTAATAAGAATGTGAACAAGCTAGAATATCCATGAAAATACTACAGTAACCATATTAGCAACCTCCTTAAACACGCAGCCAGTTGCCTCAAGAAATTGACTGAAAAGGATCAAACTCGTTTGCTTGCATCACTCGGAGTCACCGGAACTGGTGAGATTGATGTCCGTGAGGTAAGTTATGTTTGACGAGCTGTTTATTTTCAACTTATTAACAATTTGTCATTCAGGTCAACCAACACTGTGCAATTTGGTGTGAAGAGGCTGCACAACCATTCTCTGCATTGGAAGATGAGAGCCTCAAGAGCATATTACACCCAACAGTCCTCAAGCACTTACCAAATCGACGCACAGTCTCAAGATCCATCCATCTCCTGTACACCGCGGTACAGGAAAGCTTTAAGCTTGAGTTGAAGGTAAGTCCAACCGTTATCATTGATGATATAAAATTATATAATTGAAAATTAAATCAATGGAGCCAGAGCCGTGCATTTTATCTTGGCGTTGATGCATGGCAATCCCCGAATGGATTTGATATCCTTGGCATTGTCATCTACTGGCTCAACGAGGCCAAACGATCAAATCAAAAACTTCAATCAATGCCACTTGACTTCATCAAGATGTCTCAAAGCCCTACGGGCGAATACTTGGCTGAGATGGTGCAATCGGTTGTGGAGAAGTTTGGTGTTCAAAAAAGGTATGTTCTGTTTACCCACATGGATATCCAATTGCAATAAACTAACTAAATAACCCTTTTCTCAGATCTGCGGCATAGTTTCAGATAATGCTTCAAACAACGCAGTGATGATTGATCAGTTGACAAAAGGGAAATGGCCTCGCTTCAAGGGAGGGCCTCATTGGATCCGGTGCTTTGCACACATACTCAACCTCATCGCTAAAGCAATCTTGAAACCGTTTGGAACCGAGAGGAAGTCCAACCAAAACATCGATAATGATTCAGAAGATGAAGATGATATACAGGAGATTCAGCAGTGATTTTAATAATATTTATTCCATTAAATTCTTGCCTGCTGATCTTTTTGCCTTTTGGTTTTTCATATTCAAGCTACACCAACATCCACCCTGATTTTGAGTCAGTCGAGGACAAGGATTTCAATTCAGAGGAGGATGATGAGGGAGTTACTAAAGTTGCTGAAGGTGAAGAGTTGGATATCGAAGACATCAACGATCTAAGTGAAGAAGAGGAGAATGATCAGTACACTTCACAGAATTGTCGACAGACACTTGCAAAGGTAAGTAACGAAGCATTTATCTCCTAACTTGAAAAAAACTCAATGTACTCTGATATGCCCACAGTTCCGAGCAATTGCCCGTAAATTGAAAAAGTCACCCAACACAAGAGATTTATTTGCCAATATCTGTGAAGCCCACTCAATTCAATCACCACACCGGATTGCACAAGATGTACAAACAAGGTGGAACTCAACCTTCCTGAAACTAACTGGTGTGAATCAGTGTCAAAAAGCAATGTAAGTAATTTCCTATGTGTTGATATAGATCAAACAACACCTTTTGATTCATCATTTTAGTCTTGAGTGGCAACGGGATAAGAAATATGGCCTCAATCGAAAGTATCAAGTCAGTCGTAGTGACTTGGAATTGGCAAACCATTTGGCCGTTGTTCTCCAGCCGTTCTACGAAATCACCTTGCAAGTATCAACGGAAGGGTCACCCCGGTTATCACATGTTGTGGTTTTCATCGACCAGCTTACTGAACATCTTTCCACCATCATTTCCAAAAAGAAGTACCCAGCCGCATTGAGGAATGCCTGTTGTGCGGGTCTTCATATCACAAATAAGTATTACACACTAACTGACTGCTCTCCTTTGTACCGAGTTGCAATGAGTAAGTTGTCTGTTTTTTTATGTCTTTTTTTGACGGTTTAATTTGATTTTTGTTTTTGTTTGAAGTACTCCACTCCTCATTTAAAGACAAGTACTTTAAAATTGCTGGTTGGAGTGAAGAGTGGATCAAAGAGGCAATCAATCTCACACGAGAGATGTGGATTGCAAATTATAAGCCCCAAGTTAAAGAAACAGCTGCCAAAACTCCTGTTACAAAACCAAAAGTAAGCACTTGTCTTTGAATCTATGTTTTATTTGTTGCAATATTAATGATTCTGAATATTTTTCCAGTCCCTAACCAGTTTCATATCTCAACTTGGCGCTGCTTCAGCAGCGCGCTCAGGTATTTCATCAACCGACCCTCTGGACATGTGGCTCTCCGGAGGCCTCATCTTGGAAGGATCCGAGCCGGTGGATGCTCTCCAATGGTGGCTGCAACAGAAGTGAGGAGGAAACACTTACAGTGGGATTTTAAACATGGCTCTCGATGTCCTGAGTTGTCCAGGTTTGTTTTTGCCCTTTCTTTTCTTTTGAAATTTTATGAATGAATTGTTTCTAACTATCATCTGTTTCAGCAACATCCGTGGATGTGGAGCGTGCATTCAGCTTTGGCCGTGACTATGTCACAAGCAAAAGGCACCGCTTGAGTTCAGCTTCAGTGAGCAGGGGAATGACAGTAGCATTTTATTCAAAGAATAAAAAAATCAAACCCGGTGAGCTCAATAGGTTTGAAGCGAAGCTCAAAACAGAAAAAAAAATAAGATGAAGATGAAAGGAAAAGAGAAAGAACATGTAGAGATTATAGATTAAGGGAGAAACTTTTGTGTGAAGTCATGAATCTATCTGTCTGAAATCAATGAATTTGATCGTTGCCTGTAAATACCGCCGGTACCCGTCTGTATTACCCGGGTACCTGTTGAGCGGGTCCAAATCACGGGTACGTGTGTTGAGTTTGAGCCAAAAACATGGGAGGTACCCGTACCCGTCACGGGTACCCGGGTCCAGATTGCCATCTTTAGTAGTAGACAAGGAGATTTCAAATACTCTCTGAAGATGTGGCGGACTATTTCTGACTAAAAGGTGTGATAATATTTCTGAGGACTTTTCCTAAGGACTTTGACTAAGAACTGTGACTAAAGACTATAAGCTAATTATGTGACCAGGCTGAGAACGTCAGGGAACTGATGAGGGGAAAACATGGCTCCTTATATACAAAATCTGGGGAGTGGCCAGCTTGTGGTTTGAGAAAAAAGGAACAAGTGAAAAATATCAAACTGAAACACTACAGCCTAGAGGGTAGCTGCTAATACCAAAGAGGACACAATGACATAGCCTGCTTACCCAAATGGGTACATAAGTCTGAAACATGCATACCACATGCAGACGCATGCATAGAGGTAAGATACTAATCCCCAAGTGGGTGCATTAGTGTGAAACAGAGAGATAAGAGAAAGAGGGGTGCATATGCAGTGTCTCCAGAAACAGAAATGAATGAAACAAAAGAAAACAAGGAGGGTTATAATACCCTGGGACTTTCTTCCCTCCACGTGTGGTCTGGGTGTCTTGAGGTTGCTGTCTGGCCCGAGGGAGATGGTGTTAGGCCTTCTTGTCCTGATTGCGCGGTGCCTTGAGGCTTTGAAGTTTTGATTTGGCTCACCACACCGGGAGGGATTCCTCCCAGGAAGCTGGTGTACATACCAGCTTGTCGGAAGGGATCTGAAGAGCTTGTTGGTGTACATACCAGCTCGTCAGAAGGGATCTGACAAGCTGGTATTTATCCCAGCTTGTCAGAAGGGAGTCCTTCTGAAGAGCTGGTTTAAAAAACGGCTTGCCGGGAGGAACACCTCTTGGAGAGCTGGCATGTAGGGTTTCCTCCCAATGGTGTGGCCTCTGCCTCTCTAGGCCAAGGGGGGGTGTTTTGTTTTTTCTTCTCTTTTTTTTGAAAAAAAAATCCCACTCTGCTGGAAGGTTATCCTTCCAACCAGCAATTGTCAACCAGTCAAAGGGCAGGTATCCATGGATATCCGCGTGGATACCTGCCAGCGCCAGCGGATGCAGATGCCTGATTCCGCTGAAATTGTGAGCGGGTATCCAGATGCAAAGCGACCATCTCTAGATGCTTTTGAGGCTATGTAGGGAGGGTATATAGCCCTCAGAATCCCTTGCCCGCGCTGCCTACATTGGTCACAATTTACATACGTTTTTCTGGCAGTCCAATCCCTTGGCTGGACCGGTGTGGTGGTGAGAGCGCGCCGGGGCCAAAGCTTTGGCCAAATTGTTTGGGCGTATGCAGAATGATTGTGGCTGATGGGGAAAGCATGCGGAGCTGACGCTACACACGCAAGCTGAGGAAAGCGGCGGCGCATTAGTGGAAAGTCTAGCTTTCCGAGGCGCGGGAAAGCGGGTAAAAGCAGTTCAAATGTGCAAGGTTCTGAAAAGGCTTGCTGCGGGGAATCCGGGCACTGGCGGACTCCGGGGTTCACGGCTGACTGCGGACTGGGGTTTAGCGTATACTGCGGAGGGGCTACAAAGGAGCGGGGGGCACCAAGAGACAGAAGCGGGGTGTGGAGCGGACCAGAGGTGTAAGCGGCGGTGGGAGACCTATCCCATGGGTGGCCGGAGGAGTACACTGACTGGCAGGCTTTGGAGGGGTGACAAGCGGAGTGCAAGGGAGTGACAGCGGAAGCAACGGTGGGCCAGTTACGCTAACCGTAGTGTTAGTGTAGCGTAGTGTTAGCTTTTTAAGCTACGCTACACAAAAGTTACCGTTAGCGGAAATTTTTGGCCCACTAATGCTACAGGATTTTTGAAAAAAAAAAAAAAACTTTAGCGTAGTGTTAGCTGCCTTTAAAAAGGTACAACTAACACTACCCAAAATCCTGTTAGTGAAATTTTAGCGGTGTTAGTGGGTGAACCCACTACGCTACATGTTAGTGTAACTTTTTGCAAAGTTACACTAACAGTTAGCGTAACTGGTGTAAAAGTTACACTAACTGTTAGCGTAACTGATTAAAAGTTACACTAACTGTTAGCGTAACTGAATAAAAGTTACACTAACTGTTAGCGTAACTGATTAAAAGTTACACTAACTGTTAGTGTAACTGATTATGTAGTTGGAATAATATGTAGGTTACCTCAGACATAGTAGAGAATAAGGACCTCAAAAAGTATTTTTCAGATAATTACTTGGGAAAAAAGCAAAAAAAAAAAACAAGTAATCATACTGTAAATTATCAACTAAAAATCAACAAATATGGATGGATAAATGAGGGATGAAAAGAACTACTGATATTGAACTTTTTTTTTCTGGTAAGATTAGGTATTAGTGAAAATAAGAAATTGTTTTTTTTGCTTTGATTTTTTTATACTAAGATTTTTTTTTGCTTAGAGATGAGTGATAAAAAGAATACTAGTGGTTAAAAAGCAAAAGAAAGAAAAGGTGGGAAAAAATCTACTTCTTTCTTTGGGAATAGTCAATGTACGAAGAAACAACTGTTTGTGCTTTGGTGAAATCTCCAGCAACTTTAATACCTTGTTTTAACCGCATATGGCTACTAACACACCTTTCAATTGTACGGGGTTTCAAACTCCCTCGGCCAGTTGAACAAACATCAGCAGCTGAAGAAAAGGTACGCTCAACTGCACATGAGGATGCAGAGGATGCTAAGTAGTCCTTGGCCAGTGATCCAAGAACCGGGTAGGTGGTTGAATGATCCTGAACAAGATGAATAATCAAATTATGATTAGAGTAATTACCAAATGAGTATGATCAAAGAAGGTAACTTTATACCTTCCACCAAATTAAAATGCTCTTGGGATCGTTTGAGGCAGGCAATGGTAGTCAATCCATGTTGTTGATATACACCTCGAGCTCTTTGCTTTCGTCGATTCTTGCAGGTGCATTGAACATTTCAAAGATATCATTTTGCTCGACCGGGGGGGCTTCTTTTTCGACAAGTTGGATGTTATCTTCTTTCTGTTTCTTCAGATCCTCCACACGTTTCGCAAATTCTTTCTCCAGAAGTTTTCTCGCAAAGTCCGCTTTTTCAGGCCAGCAATGGGTGAAGGCCTTCAGCCGTAATTTGGGGTGGAGCAAAGTCGCCATAATGAGAGTATGACACTCGAGTGCCTCGTTTTCGTAGGTCTCTAGTTTCTTGATCATTTTGACATACATCGGATGCATCGGGTGACCTCGGTTGCAGGCTTCCTCCTTATTTTTCAATTCTAAGATTATTTGATAATAGTTTGGTAAGATGAAAGCACCGGTAGGACCATCGCCCTCCATAAGTTTGGTCAGGCGGTTGAATGGCTGAAAATAACAAATGAGCATTTCAGATAAAACCTTATATATAATAATAAAAAGGACTTACTTCTAATTCTTCATTCAGTTCATTAATCATCGCCCATTCCTTCTTTGTGAACTGGATCTCCTTGAAGTGACAGAGCTTCTTGGGATTTTCCTTGCGGCTTGATTTGGACCGTTGTTGTTTATATTTGTCATACTCATCATGGAGTATTGCATCAATGACCTAGATTGGCAAATATTAATCAACAAGTTTTGTAGAATGATGGATAAATAACATACTTCTCTGGCTTCATAGGCACGAGTTCGGCTTTCATATATTATATTCCAACGGATACCATAGCCAGCAATCAGATTTTTTAATCCTTTTCCAGCTGCTCGTCGCTCAAATTCCTGTCTCCAGGCACACGATCCGGTAATTTTCTTAACTACAAAGTCCAACTATGTACATCATTTAAACTTGTCAGTAGGTCACTCAAAAAAAAATATCAGAGATGTAATCACTCACTGCCGTAACCAAATCATTCAAGTCATTCGAATTGTTCCTGTTGGCCTTTGAGGAAGATTCTTTTTGACCGTCTTTCGCACCCTTGTTGGCCTCCTGGGATCCATCTTTATCATCTTCGTCATCATCATCCGATTCAGCGTCGTCTTCTTCGGTGTGATCACTTCCGGCTTCACTGTTGGAATCGCTGTCTTCATTGTCTCCTTCCTTTCCATCTTCATTCTCCTCCGTGATTTTTGGCATCGTATTTGAGTAGGGAAAAGAACCTAAGAACACCTTTTTCATTTTTGGTGGATGCGGGGATTGGAGTCCCAATTCCTTCAAACCAGCATTCACAACAAGAGCCATTTTATGGCAAAAACACTTAATATGCATTGTCTTATGCTCCCATTCGAAGTTACCGTCCGTGTCAAGAAGGGCCAGTTTGGTGTGCATTTCTTCAGCCATGGTATTGTTATTCGAACCTGAATCGGTGGTCTGACATAGCATGTAAATATGAGAAACTAAAATTAGGTTTGACCTTTTATCATGAAAATAATTAACAAGTTAAAAATACTTATCTTATTGTAGAGTTGATGTTTCTGCAAGATATTGACAATCGGGGCGGCCAGCAATTCCCCTTGATGAAAACAGGCAACCAATTTGAGGCTTAAATGAAGCACAACGTAATTCCAATCGTTATCGATAAAAGATGCTGATACACCAATGAATCCATAGCGATTTCCTTTTGTCGTCCATATATCGTGTATCAAATTGAACTTGCTGTTGGTTGCCTGATTACATATAATTTGAACAATATAAGTAGATTGTTCTTTGAATTTAATGAGATTAAACTACTTACTTTTATTTGTCTAACCACTTCTTCTTGTAATTCCAAGTACGCTGTTCTTGAAGCCGTTGCCGCCCATTTTCTTTTGAACAAATTCGCAGCAGGTTCACAGTAGTTGAAGGCGGCCTGAAGATAAGGGTCCTCAACTCGATTCCAAGGTATCGCCTGGCGCAACAGCCATAGAACTACGACTCGATTAAGAATAATATTGTCGAACTTTTCTACTCTAGCAAAGTGACTCGTGATTTCTTGAGTTCCTTTCTTCTTTTTCTCTTCATCAAGGGCCGTCTGAGGAAGTTTAGCTCCAGCAGCGATAGCTTTTGCACGGTTTGGACATCCATTTGAGACCCTTCCAGTTTGACGAGAGCCATCACGATGCACACAAAGATTGGAAAGACTAGACGCTGAGACCCGGACTTCTTTCTTACACCACAAACAGCTATATGTTGACGGAGGTTTATCTGCAGGCTACAAGAACAGAAAAAAGAGGGAAAAAATGATTAGAATGATGTTATTAATTAAGATGTTCAGAATAAATACAACAAGTCTCACTTACATCATCCTTACGGCAAAAAGGTTCAGAAAAAAAAACCTTGATATCATCCTCCTCCAGGTTCTTCCTTTGCCTCTTGAATTTGGCCTTTGCATTTTCTTCATCAGAGTCCTGCGCAAGGTCGATCGTGGTTCCAGGGTTTGCCTCAGAGTTGCCAACTGAGGTGGCGCCAGTGGTTTTCTTGGTTTTTTGTTGTGTGGCTTCTGAGACTGAACTGGAGTGATTTGAGGGGTAGAATCTGAATTGGTGGGAGCTTCAGTTCGTTTCTTGGTTTGACTGCTGGGATCAATAGCTGGTCTTGCTGACAGAAGTGGCTGGGTGATTGATCGACGGGAATCTGGTGAAGGTTGAATCATTCCTGATCGCTTCATAGGGGTAGTGACTCGTGAGGATCGACGAGTTTGCACCTCCGTGGCATCGCTTACATTGCCAGACTGGTTTGACATGGAAGATTGGGTTGGTTGGCTCGACATGTTGACCTAGATTTTGCACTTGGTGGTTGTTCTTGGGGTAAGCGGGTTGATTGACTGATGGGAGTTGGCTGTGACGGTGGTTGTTGTTTGGGTAAGTGAGTCGATCGTTGGATCAGAGTTGGCTGTGACGTGTCAGGTCTAGCTGGCTTGCTCGGCCCTCACATTTTTTTTTCTCACCCGAAAAAATTTCATCCCCCCAGGGCCCAAACCACATGCACCCTGCCCCATGGGTGTGTCCCACAAACAGACCAGTGGATACTCATCACTCACAAGACAAACAGAACCGCCAATCAACAAAAACTCAAAGAATAGAGAATTAAAAAGTTCTAACAGTGGAAAAAAACATAAAATGCAACAATAACAAAAGAACAAAATGACAAAATATAAAAATCCAAACATAAAAAATTGTAAAACCCAAAAACTCATAAAGTAACAAAAGGAACAATTGACCCATTACATAAAAGAAAAAGAAGAAATAAAATCATCAAAAAAAATCAGAAAGGCTGTGGAAGGATTCACAACCAAAATCTTGTGAATCAACAAAATATAAAATAACAAAATGATACCACACCTGTCCCCCTTTCAAAATGTCAATCCTATTGTTTAACACTCACTATATCATCATACACACATCTATCTCACCATTCTTTTTCAATATTAATCTAAAATCTATATTATTTTATCAAAGTCTTACAATAGGATGAAATAAAGAATGATTAGAGACATTGGGTCAAATACTCAAAATACTCAATATTTAAATTTACTTTGGGGTTTCATGAAGTTGAATTGAGATTGTGCATGCAGTGTGTCATATTTCAGTAAATCTGCAGATGATACAAAAGGTTTTCATGACATGGTCATCTGTCATGAAAGGTGTAGTGAAAAAATAGTAGAATTATTCATATGCTCCCTCAGCCTGAGGCTGAATCCTCAAATTTTATTGAATTCAGTATTCATTAATGGAGAGTTCATTCTGAGAACAGGATTCAAATTCTATGATCTAAAGTAAGGAAGTAAACCATATCATTTGAAATTCATTTCTTTGCAATTTCAGAGATAATATTATAAATTTCACCTAGCACACGTTAGATCAAGATTCAAGTATTTGAATCTCCATTCAAATACTTGATGAACACAGGTTATAATGATAATTATGTTATCATTAACTACAACAATACTAAGGTCATGATGTAGGTCTTGTGGTGAATCATATTATTATTATCAATAATTATAAGCTGTGAATCATGATGAACAGAGTTTACTATGAATTATGCTGTGAATCATGATGAACAGAGGTTACTATGAATTATATTATCATCAATTACAACAATAACAAAGAAAAACACTTATATATTGCTGTGGATCATGTTGCCATTAGGTATAACTGAGCACAACTGTAATGCATTCTTGGAGTTCTGAGACTGAACACAGATTATACTAAGATTATGGTGGATATTTGAAGTTAAGCAATGACAATCTTTATTACAATTGGCCAAAAGTTCCTACATTATCATATTCATTTATATGTTATCCTCAGTTAATTTCACAAATTCTCTTCATATTCTATCCAAATCACTTGGCACACTTGTACTGGACTCTTGAAGTTCTGAACATAGAGGATGCTAAGACTATCGTGAATCTATGAAGCAATGACAATCTTTATGGCAAATTGCAAATTGTTCCTACATACTCATTCATATATTCCCCTCACTTTTTAATTTTTCTCTGTAATCAAACTGACAGATGAAATTCTTCATTAACAGAATAAACCTCATGAACAAGGTCAAACGAATATTTCAACTGGAAGATGGTGAGATGTGTGTTTTATTGGGGTTTTTACTTATAAGATTGCATAACTGAAGCTACTACTTAAATAAAAAAGAAAAGACAATGAAAACAAAATAAAGCAGCTAGGAAAAGATAAAAAGGAAATAATGAAAACAAAATAAAGCAGCTAATAAAGTACCTTTTGCTAGACAACGAAACATATAATAAAAGTGATCACCAAAGTAATTGAGAGGGTCTGTATAATAACCTTCCGCTTCTCTTTTAACAGCATTAACAATTGAAGTAGTAATCTGAAGGGATAAACCAAGACGAGTAAACTCAGTAGAACCAGATGGGGATAAATATGGAAGAGTACAATGTCGATATTTATTGGCTTGCCAAATCATTTTAACAATACCATGTTCTTTATCAAAACTAATGCCTGTGTGGAAACTTGGAAAAACAAAAGGGCCACCTTTAAGATCATAACCAGAATCCGGACCGGCCAATTTGCCAGTAGCAGAGTAAATAGGAATAAACATAACAAAAGCCCATTTAGACATATCATTATGATCTTTGTGAGGTGGATTGAAAAAGTGATTAGTGGTGAACGTGAGATGGGGTGAACAGGAGTTGGGACTAGGCTTTTCACCAAAGGAAAGTGAATCAAAAGAGGGAAGATTGAAGAGCTTCATGAGATCTTGATTGTTTTGGAATGGACCAGAAGCTAAATTTTTATAATATTCACCAAGGATCTCACCAACACGTTTGGATTTTTGAAAAAGAGTATCATATTTTTCCATCTTGTTAGGAGGGAACTGTTTGATATATCTTCCAAAAATCTGGAGAATGTCCTGAGACTTCCTCCAGCCAATTCCCCACATTTTCCCACCCCATGAGCGGGTTGAAGATGAAACAGGATTGACAAACTCCTTTGTTTGGTGGAGAAAGGTTGAAACAAATTCCAGATTCGCCTTATCGGTTTTGGTTAAGCGATTCCACGGGGTGAAATCCATAATCGCAATGACGGATTCTGGATTTCGAGGATCCAAAAGAACCGGGTGGCCAGCATTCATGAGGTAGAAATTTCTATCGGCAAATTTACAAGCCTTTTGAACTTCAGCTGGGGTTGGATGGCGTGTTGGTTTGGCTGTTGCCTTGTCGAACGGGACCGTTGGATAGAGGCGGGTATTCGGATACCAGGTAAGTCGTTGCCATTGTATCGAATTAAAAAGCCCCATGCTGAGGTTCAACACTTGCTCCTGTATCCAAGCATGCAGTTCCGCCCTCTTCTTGGCCTTGTTGCGAGTATTAGCCAACTTAGATGCTCTGTTCACATGTCTGATACGGTGGCGGTCCCCGGTAGCGTTTTTCAATGCCCCGAGATCAACACAATTCCCGCAGAATGATCCCATTACAATGTGACATTTTCCAAGCAGAGGCCAAGGAGGAGAACCACAGCAGAGGATGGGAAGGAACAAACAAAATGATATATGTTAGTATAAATTAATAAGATGAAAGATGATTAAGATCAAAGAATATGAAATATAAACTATACCGATTACTCTTACGTGCCATTTTAGTTGAGGTGGGGCTTGTAGAATATATGATAACCTAAAAAACCAAAAATATGAGTCTGTGTGATGGTGCAAGAAAGGAGGTAGGCAAGAAGTGTAGCTTACAAGGGGATAGGTAGATGAGTGGTAGGCTAGCAGGGTCTGGCAAAGGATTGGGGGGGCTAGCTCAAACAATGAGGAGGCAGGGTAGCTATAGGTTGAACGACTGATCGCGGAGGGGGGGGGGGTAGCTGGATTGATGAGGGGGGAGGGTAGCATTCATCAGCAGGGTAGCTAGCGGTGTGAGGACAAGGGTAGCTTACGGTCGATTGAAGGATGAGGGGAGGGGGTAGCTCAAAAACGAGGTGGAAGGGTAGCTAGCGGCGACGGCTTCAGCAAACAAGCGAGGGGGGCCGACCGTTCAAGCGAATGATTTAGGGTAGCTCAATAAACGAGTTGGCAGGGTAGCTATGGGTCGAACAAACTGTGAAGGAGGGGGGGGTAAGTGGATCAATGAGGGGGAGAGCAATCTGGTCTGAAAAATGGGGTAGCTTACGGTTGAACAAAGGATGAGGGGTGGGGTGGATCGAAAGAGGTGGGAGGGTCAGGGCGAAAAAGCAGTGATGTGAGTAGCTAGCAAAGCAATTAGAAAGAAGAGGTGGCATCTGGAGAAATTGGAAATTGAGGTCGAGTCATGTGTGAAAAAAATGGTTAGGTGGAGGGTGGCTTAGCTGAGGGTGCCCCCCCCCCTCTGCAAAAAAACAGGAAATAATGAAGGGGTGGTTGTTAACAACTAGTCCCCTGAAAAGACAGTCCAATCAGGGTAGCGTTAGTCATGTGGTCAGGGAGGAGCTTAAGAAATCCTACCAGACCACATGCCAGCGCTACACTTTTGTGTCATGGGTTCAATCCCCACATGACACACTAACCTGGTTCTGAGGCAGTTACGCTACACTACATATACAGTTACGCTACATTTTGTAGCGTAACTGTATATGTAGTGTAGCGTGGTGTAACGTAATTGGGGATGAGTTACGCTAAATGTTAGCTGCACCAACAGTTACGCTGTTGGTTAGCGGAAATTTTGTTAGCGTGGAAAAAGTTACACTACTGGTTAGTTTAGCGGCATTTATTTCAAGCTAACACTAAAAAAAATTTCAGGGAAAAAATTCACGCTAAGCTGGCAGTTAGCTCAGCGGTGTGTAGCGTGAACTAACACTACAGGATTTCCAGAAAAAAAAAAAGCCACTACGCTAACATGTAGTGGCCAAATAGCGTAGTGTAGCGTAGCGGCCCACCGTTGGCGGAAGACAGTGTGGGAAGCAGGAGGAAATTTGGGTATGGGGATAGCTGGCAAGAGTGGAGTTTGGAGTAGAAGAGGAAAAGAGAGGGGGGGAATTATGACTCAGAACATATTGGAAGACCAGAGTGACTTAGGAGTGAATTGTGTATAAGCCTAAAGAATTGTTAGAGATAGAAAGAGTTAGAGTATAACCACCCAAAACAAATAAAAGATAGTTATTTTACCTACCTACAAGACCATCAAGCAAGTTACCCTGGACAACAAAACGGAGTAAGACTTGTTGCGGAGCGAATAAGTGCAAGAAATCTTGGAGGGCGCGCCTTACTTTCCACACCGGACAGTTCTGTTCAACTTCCCCCATGCTGATCAATCTGCCTCCCCAGTATGTACTCAGCCTATGACCCATCCTGAGTGTGTACATAGGTCAACAGCTGTGTGCCTAGACAAACTACAACCAGGGAGTCACAAGAGTCACCACCTATCAACATATGGCAACACCTTCCTTCTTCTAAAAAGCCTTTCGGGTGAATCTGAGCTTATATCTTTTCTCACCAAATCATCAGATTGAAAGTCATAATCATGGGGATGTTAGTATAAAAATAAGTAGGATAAAGTAAAATTGTTGACAGTTGAATGGCTCTGTTTGATCTTCATGGTATTGAATAGAACATTTGGGCAATCAAGCTTCTGGGTTTGGGTGAGTTTTGGCAATTGGATCCTTCGGTCCCAAGCCGAAGATAATGGTGTCATTATCATCGGTTTGAAACCAAAGAACAAGCAGAGCTGGGTGAGCTGGGTATATGAGCTGGGTGAGCTGAGTGAGCTGGGTAAAAACCGGTTTTGCCAATTTTTTTTATAAAAAAAATAGCCCTAACCAACCTAAACCTAAACCCTAAACCCTAAACCTAAACCCTAAACCCTAAACCCTAAACCTAAACCTAAACCTAAACCTAAACCCTAAACCCTAAACCCTAAACCTAAACCCTAAACCTAACCTAAGCCCTAAACCCTAAACCTAAACCTAACCCTAAACCTAAACCTAAACCTAAACCTAAACCTAACCCTAAACTTAACCCTAAACCTAACCCTAAACCTAACCCTAAACCTAACCCTAAACCTAACCCCCCTTGAAGCAGGGGCCATTGGATTTCCGACAACTGCGCCAGGTCCCCAATGGCCCCACAATAGCCAGGCAGATGAACTACTCCGCTTGAGCCTGTCCAGGTATTGTGCCTCTCCTGGGTTAACCCTAAACCCCCTAACACGGTAAACCTAACCCTAACCCCAAAAACCTGCCCCCTAACTAGAGATCGTTCGTTTGTACTCGGGTACCTGTTGGTACCTAGGTACCTGTTGAATTTTTTCAAAAAATAGGTGCCAAGTACCGCACCAGGCACCTCCCGGCGGGTACCGGCGGTACTTTTGTTGGGTACCGTGGGGTACCTCTCCTCTCTTCTAACCTAGGTTCACTTTCAGATTACCCAAGTCACTTTTTTATTATTATTTTTTTTCATATTTATTGTAAAATATCAGTCCTAAGTCACTTTTTTTCCATTCTTTCATATTTATTGTGAAATGTTGACAACAAATTGGAAGAATCCTACTTTTTTATTATATTTTCATATTTATTGAAAATATCATTCCCAAGTCACTGTTTTTCCTTTTGTCATATTTGTTGTAAGACATCTTAAACTAATTGGAAGAACCTTACTTCATTATTATTATATATTACTTTCATATTTATTGTAAAATATTACTCAAGTCACTTTTTTGGCATTTTTTTCATATTTGTTGTCAAGTATCTACATCTAATGGGAAGAATCTTGCCTTTTTTCATATTTATTGTAAAACATCAATCCCAAGTCAATTTTTTCATTTGTTCACATTTAATAATTTTTTTTAAAGCTTAAACTGTCTACAAATTATATCTAATTAGATTATTAGAAGAATCTTCATTGTTGTCCAAAACTATCACCTTCCTTTTTGATTTTTGGTTAGACTTCTTGTTGTCCTTGAGTCCCTGTTTCCATGTAGCCAAGGTACCTTCTTGGAGTTCTTGGAGTAGAAGGCCACATTTATTTTGGTAGGGAAGTGGGGGGGTACCTGTAGCGGTACCTAGGTACCTGTTCAATTTTTCATAAAAATAGGTACCAAGTACCGCACCTGGCACCTCCCGAAGGGTGCGGGGCGGGTGTGAAGGGTACCCCTCAAGCGGTACTAGGTACCTAGCCAAGGGTACCGCGGAACGATCTCTACCCCTAACCCCCATCAGGGGATGGGGCCAGTGGGAATTGAACCCACAACCTGCTGGATGGTCAGATGTTAGGGCCAGTGCAAACCACTGAGCTACAGAGACTTTGTCTCTGCCAGTGTTTTTGGAAATCTAGTCAGCTGGGGGACCCAGCTCCAGGCAGCTCACCCAGCTCTGGCAGCTCTTTGGTTCCAAACCGAAGATAATGGCACCATTTTCTTTGGTTTGGGACCAAAGAATTTGAGTGACACAGGTGGTTTGGGTCTCTGATCTGAATATTTTTGTCTTTCTAGTTTCAGTGGTATTAGAGATATAAGAATGGGGGTCTCAGGAGAAAAATTCCCAACAGGAAAGTCAGGGTTCTCACATAACTTTGTTTTTTTAGATGATTAAACCAAATTTGAGGGGATGAATCTTCTGGTGGGTTTTTATTGCTATGTTTCTTGTTTGTTACAATATTAATGGTTTTGAAGACAAATGCAATAAGCTGAAACATTACAGATCAAAGAAATCAAGTTTATTTAATGACTTGTGTGTTTGAAGTAGCAATTGAAAAAGAATTGGGTGGATTCATTTGTTTGGTGTTCCAGTTCTGCTGTAATGTTTTTATAATTCAAGAATCATTGAGCATGAGAGCATTTGGAAATGTCAAATCTTGACTAACACTGTTGTTTGATGTTGGAGAGGAGTAGAAGCCTTTTGGTATTTTTACTTTTTGTTGAATTTGTTTTTTCAAATTTGAATTCTTGCTCAATCAGTAGTTATTAATTTGTAATTTGGGGAACTTCATAGAAAAATGGGAAATCAGAGAAATTCAGTTTCTTGCATCAAAATTTTATTCAAACTTCAAATTCAACCACAGCTGTATTTGATAAATGCTCATGTGTTTTTTCTTTGACAAGAAGTTCTTATGCTTCTTTGTATCAGTAGTATCAAATATATAAGCATGTGGGTCTTGACTCTTAGTGTAAAAGTAATAAATACAAGAAATCTGGTCCATGGAACCAAGTTTTCATGTTTGAAAAGGTGAAGGAATATAATTTTTGTTTATTTTTTACTAATTGTAATCTTTTTTTTATACTTTGTATCCAAGTATGGAGGTACTGAACCGCCACTTTGGCCAAAAAAAATTAAAAATTAAAAAATAAAATAAAGATGAAAAAATAAAGGGCCTTAATAAAAAAACCCGCATTTTCCGCGTTTTGACGCGCTTTTGCTGCGCTTTTGCTGCGGCACAGCACACGCGCAATCCGTGTTTAAACCGGCATTTTTAATTAATTTATTTTTGCCATTAATTTTAATTTTTTTCAAGTTTTTAAAATTGTTTCCTAGGTGAAAAAATGCATAGAATTTAATGGT